TGTGATATTAAGGAAAACCCTATATTAAACAAAGCATCAAAATGATTTTAAATGTTAAGCAAAAAATCTTTAGATTATTTAAACTGTAAAGAAAATGTAGTAAAGTTTTCTCTTCTGAAGTCTCATCTGGTTTTATGATGAAGCCCTTCCAATTGGTGTAAAAAGTGTATGATACAAATATAGCCCAGCAATAGATGGATGTTAAGAAACCACATCTGCTGCACCTTTTTTGCGCTACGCTTGTTCTGCACTTCCTTTCACTGTGATGGGTATCCATTACGCATGTATAAATACTCATGAATGGAAGTGCAGTAAATTCTGACTCAGGTATCAAGTGATTTATGAGTCTCTGAGGACTAAGGCTGAAGCATGATGTCTTTTCTGAGCTCTGCATCATATTGATATTGAGATATAAGCCTCTACACTTCTCTAAAAATACTTGTATATTATAACAAAAGATATTTAAAGCTGAGTCATTTGAATACACATGCCCAGGGTTAGATTCACATGATATTAACCTATCACTAGCTATCTGGTTTCCCAATCTCAAGCAACATATTTTTAATTTCCAGGTTCACCATGACTATGTAGTGAAAAGAATTCTGAACCACGGACAATGGCAGCATAGATCCTGTAGAGTTATATACAGTTGATAAGATTTACCTCAATAGGGTGTGATTCTTCCAGTGCATCAATCCGTAGACCTCCAGTTGTTTGTCCAAGAAAATGAGACCAAATTTTCCAGTCAGGAAATAAACGGTCAGTGGCTAGGTAACTCACCTAAGAACAGAAATATCGATGAAAACAGCAAATCATTTGCAACATGAAAGCTCACCGATGTCCATTAGGCATATAATTTAAATATGAACTATAGATATTAATACCCATGTTGCAAATCCCTCATTAAGCCATAAGTGAGTCCACCATTCCATTGTTACCAGATTACCAAACCACTGATGGGCTACTTCATGTGCTACAACAATTGTATGTTGGACAGAATAACATAATCATTAAAATGGCTTCAAAAGAAATTTCAGGTTAGACTAAAGTACAGAAATTGCTTTATATCTCAAATTTCTTCTATAAATACCCCGTATAGCAGAGCTTTGTTTTGGGGGTGGGGGGGTGGGGGGGAGTACTTAAAAGCCTTAAAAGCTGTAACTATTTAATACAGAAGAAAATATATTCATAGGCTTCAACGGTAATCTAAATATATGAAACAAGTATACCAAGATATAAAGATTACCATTTGCCTGTTAGCAGCTGTAGAATGCAAATCATCATGGAGCAATTCTACTTCACGGTATACGACCAAACCATAATTCTCCATAGCCCCTGTGGCAAAGTCAGGGACTGCAACCATATCCAGTTTAGGAAGTGCATATGGCATCGAAAAGTACCTACGCGAATTCATAATGAGTTAAAAAGAAAATGAACTGAATTCAGAGTCAACAAAGTCATTACTTGCATGCTAAGGAATCAACAGAACCAGAACTCAAACTTTTTTTTGTATTGCTCGGTTGATAATGTGTAACATTGAATCACCAAAAAAAAGGAAAAGAAAGATAGAACAGAATATTAAAAAGCATACTTTGTATATAGATCAAGTGCCCTTACAGCAACATCTAAAACAAACTTCCCTTTATCACTCTTACCAATTGGGCAATATACACGAACCTTAATTCCTACAAGCACAAATTAGAAGAACACAAAAAACAAGAGCTAATAGTCAATCAGATAAAAGAATAGAAAAAATATAAAAGATGATATGCTTGGGCATACCATCAGCTGTCGTATCTTCAATGTAATCAAATAGACCGACTACAAAGGCTACCAAGTAAGTTGACATAATTGGTGTTCCCTGGAAATGAACAGTTTTGAGATGCCCATTAAGCTTTTCATCAAAAACAGGCATGTTGGACAATGCTGTCAACTCAGATGGCACTTCTACTGTCATCTTGAAAGAAGCCTGTAGAAAATAATTGGTTGATTTTCTGAAAATTGGAAAAAGAAATTACCAGTTTTACTGAATATAGACCTAAAAACGGTTAAGCATAGTTGATTAATATTTAAGTATGTGCATATATGCATTTAAGAAAGAAACTCAAAAACTGAAATACTTATGGGGATTCTTCCCAAAAAAATGCAGAAAAACTTGGCTCGGATGCAAGGGATTATGATCAACAATTGAATTTATGGGGGACCCCACGAGAGAGAGTACCTTGAGAGCAGGTTCATCCCAACATGGAAAACACCGCCTTGCCTCTACAGCTTCGAATTGTGTAACTGCCATGTTTTTCTTCTCTCCTCCGACCACATAGGTACTGTTAGAGAAGCTAAGGTTAATATAATTAGATGGCTAGAGTTTAACCAAGAAAGGAACAGAGGGAAAACATATATATGATCTGATGACCTTCTGTAGAATCCCTTCCAAGTGTTCGTTAAGGACTCCGGATAACTTAATTCCCAAAGTCCCATCTCCCACAGTGAGAACATCATCGAAGGCCAAAACAAGTATCTCGTCATCGTTATCCACTGATACATCTGATGGATAACCCACCTGCAAATAAAGTAACCCAAGAATGGGACACTTAACGTAAAAATCAAGTGGAACTCAAATCAATTACCCGATGATGAGAGGCCCTGAACCAGACGCCATCGATGGCAAGATCAAGCGCGTTTAAGACAAGGAACTTGGTCTCCTTGCTTATGTGGACATCAATCTCGACGTCACCGCCGAACGTGCATGATGATAGATCGGGCTTCAGCGTAAGATCATAACGTCTTGGGATTGCAAACTTTGGTAGCCTGCTCTGGCCTTTGAATTGTTCATACTTCTGTTCCATCCCTCTCTGTATAACTGTATCAGTGTATGTGTGTGCAGAAATTGAATTATACTTACAGACTTCGGATAGATATTTATAGGGCGTGAGGTAATAGTGAGTTTCGATTGGACGTCCATTATCCAGAAGAGCTCTGGATACCGATGGCCAAAGAGAGTTGCTTGTTCGGTTACACCATTGACTCATTGACTGCCAGACCTCCATTGTTTTGCAGGTTAATCTCCTTCTCCGATAGTCAATACAGAGTTACGGGCTATTCAGGAATGCACAGGTACAACAGAATTGGATCAACTACTATTAGGTTACACCATTCATCAATAGCCAGGGTTCCAATCCAACGGACCCATCTGATTTCTGTCTTTGCACTGCATCTGCATTATCGACAATGACAGTAAATTAAGAAACTTTCAATCCACAGAGCCCCCCGTGAATATTATTCTCTAAAAATTCACATTCCGTTATTTTCTAAAAACTCACATACGCATTTAAGGATTTTATATAACCAAATTACCCCCTTAATGTTCAATCAAACTTATTAAAATATTTGCAGGTTGGACCTGGTGCGAGGCCAGGCCCGAGTCAATTTAGTCAAATAAAATACTTAGGTTTCATTCGCTTTATGGAGAAAAAGTCGGTTAATAGGGCTGTTGTTTGGGGTTTTTACTGTTCAATCCACCCCTAGGTGGAGCTACTAGTAGACTAGGGGTGGATTGAATCCTGTCCGTCAATTGATGTTAAATTCATGGGCATGATGTGATAGATTAAGATGAGGCTCTAAATTTGATTTTTGAAGGGGGGTGTAGACCAAAAATTTCTAACTTTTTTTTTCTACATTCATTTTTCAGATTTATGGGGATCCTTAAAAAAAAAACAATTCTTAAAAGAGAAACACGTACTCGGATAAGTGAATAGATTTTTGAAAAATAAACAGAACATTAAATGCTTAGATAGACAATTTTTATTAATCATTAATAACTAACAATAATTTAAAGGAAATGTGAAAAATAAATAAATGGTGAAAGTCATGGGAAAAAGGTGTGAATTCGAGTTCACATCTCCGCTATCTATTGGAAACATCTTCCGATGATATGCAAAAAATGATGATATTATCATTGAGAGATGTTCTCAATACACAGAGGGGATGTGTTGTGAGACATTGTGGGGCGCAGATCTGAACTCGGTGAATTCTGCAGCTATATCCCTTCCATCATTGCCCTGGTAAAAAAACATTTGTTTAATGTATTACTTTTTTTTAAATACCTATTTTATCTTCATATTTATTAATTCGGGTGAAAATTATTCAAAAAAATCTTTTAATTTTTAACTTAAAAATTTCTTATATCATATTAAAAAGCGTAAAGTATTTTTTTTTTTGTAAACTCTTATAATTGAATGAAATCTAAAAAGACAAATCTAATATTTTGACTATATTAAAATATTCCATAACAAGTAGTAAGGAATAAGGACAATTTTATAACTTCCAATTCAATTGTGGAGACAACAATGTTTTTAGTTTGGTAATGAACCTAGACAATAATGGAAGGGAGAAGGGAGGGTAACTCGTAAGATTTTTTAAAATTATAACCTCAACCGTCCTTAGGGGAGGTTTTTATCACTCTCACAAATTTTGTCTAATAAATAAATAACACGAGTCCAAATCAGGTAGGGGTGAGCAAAAAAAAAAAAAAACGATTAATTAATATAGAAAACCGACCGATATATATATATATATATTATAATTTAATATAATATATATTTTTATATTTTGATATATTATAATTTAATATATATGTATTATATATAAATATATATATTTATAATATATGATATATTATTTATTATTTGAAATATTATATTATATATATATTTATATTTTTATTATATATTTAGATATATATAATATATTATAAAAATTAAAAAACTAAAAAACCGATGAACCAACCAACCGATTAACCAATTGATTTCGGTTCAATTTCGATTATCAGTTTTCTAAAAACCGGTAGTACCGGTTTGATTAAAAAAAAAAAAAGACCCTGTTTAGTATGAGCCCTTTGTAAGGAACTTTGCGTGTCAAATTGTGATTGGTTACACAATTTCCATCTATTGGGCTTGTTCCTTGTATTAGGAGGACTTACCAATCAATACAGTAACAGGCCAAAAATCAGATTTGGGTCCAAAAAAATGGACTTAGTGTAAAAGCGGTTTTCCATTTTTCCCCAAACTAGCTTCGTTGGCGCGCAGGGAAGAAAAAAGCACCAGAGATAGAGGGAGCTTTCTTCTTCTCACTTTTTCTCTTAGGGCTCCTGTTTATAGGTTTTATGCTTTAGCAATGAAGCTTGCAGGACTGAAATCGATTGAAAACGCTCATGACGAATCAGTATGGGCAGTTACTTGGGTTCCTGCAACTGACGCCCGACCTGCTCTTCTGCTCACTGGATCTCTCGACGAGACTGTGAAATTATGGAGGCCAGACGAGCTCGTCTTGGAGGGTACCAACACGGGTCACTGCCTCGGCGTGGTCTCTGTCGCTGCCCATCCTTCCGGAGTGATCGCAGCTTCTGCTTCTCTCGATAGCTTTGTTCGGGTTTTTGATGTCGATACAAATGCCACAATCGCCACTCTCGAAGCTCCACCGTCGGAAGTCTGGCAAATGCGGTTTGATCCCAAGGTCAACTAGCTTACTTTCTCTTGTCATTTATTCTTATTTGCAGCTTTTCTAAGGTTTTAATGTGAAATTTAACTTAAAAAAGCTTTTTGCTGTTTATTTTTCAATCCATTGATGAATAGATTAATAGAAGGGAAAAGAAACAATTTAGTATTTGCTTAGTTTTAGCTCTTTGATTCGACTATTTTCTTTTCCAGAGTATAATGAATCGGCCTTTAGGATTGCTTATCTTGGTTTGGAAGCAGTTCAATCAGTTGATAGACTCAAAACTCCATTACCTTCTGAACTCTGACCTACTTCAGAGGGTCTACTCTTGAGTTGAACTTAAAATTTTAGGTCGAAGCATCTCATTTACCTATTAAGTATAGGGAGAAGATTTTATCTCTATGGAATTTGGCCATGGATGGATAAATAGCTCAATTAGAAGGGTTTGTTTCACCACTGAAACGTATCAATTGCTGCTGTCCATGGTAGTCTAGTAGGTATTGTACGTTTGACTAGTCCTCATGGTTGCTGATTTTGCATATTCTCCAGCATTTATGCAGAATCCTTACTTTGAAAAGCGGAAAGCAATTGAACAAATAAAATAATCAGCAATAGTGAACCCGAGGTTAAAAGTAACTTGAACCAATCAAAATAACATGGAATTTGACACTTATTGTCCTTGTACTGTTTGCGATTATGTATATGAACAACAAAAAAAAATCAAAACCAGATTGTTGAGAGTGATGATGAAGTACCTTATATTGATAAAAAATGATAAAATACCTTATACTAGATTTAGAAAAATAACAATTCTAATTTTAATTTGTAGTCCTTGACACTGCTAGAGTAACATTCGAAACTATGTATTTTTATGATGCAGAGAAGATTTGTGCACGGACAAAGATGACTCTGAAGTCAATAAACGGGATGGAAACTAGTTTCTCAGAAACCAGACTGGGTTTGACTGGAACTTGAATGACTATGGTTTGATTTATAAAATAAAAATAAAAAAACCAATAGCTATAAAGGGACTGACAGTTCAAACAGTAAATTGAGCTGGCCATCCTTTGTTTTTTGATAGGAAACGGTAACTTTCATTAGAGAATTGAAAAGATTACAGCCTTACCACCCACAAAATGGATGGAAAAAGAAAATCAAAAACTTACAAACAGTCCCAAAACAAAGCCTCCCTAGTAACTCCTTGCTTAGATAAAGTGTCAGCCATTCCATTTGCTGACCTTCTTACCCATTTAAAATGCACCCCAATCTCCCTTGCTAAGCTAATAATCTCTCTCAGAGGCTGTCTAAGAGACCACACTCCCAGGTTTCCAACTTGCATCCACCCTATTACATTGGCAACAAATATGGAACCTAATGACAAAGAATTATTTCATCAATCATCATAATATGTCATTGACCAACAAAATGGAAAATGTATTCCATCTAGAATCTGTGACAAGTGGCAGGAACAAAAATGAGATGGTTCTAATTACTCTGCCACTCCAGACATGGTACAAACACATTATAGAAATAAATCTTAAGAGCTCAACAGAGCATTTAATAATCTTAATCTTGAATTGATTGATGAGGTAAAATGTATTTATACGTAATCATTTAAGATCATGGCTAATTGAGACCCCAATGCACCAGGAACTGCTACTTTCCCCATCCATGCAGTTCTCTTGATATGCCTACATTAGGACTTTATTTTAAGTTCCCATTTTTCTTGTCTACCATAAACCTTATTCTTTGCAATTTGATCCCATACTATTTTGTGAACTTAATCAGAAAATTTCTGTCTGTCAATGCCCAACAGAATCAAAGAACTTACACTATTTTCTGCCCTTTGTGCCAAATTTCTCTCACCAATATCTATGTATGCATGGGATCTATTAAAGGTCGCACTTCCCAAATCTTTGTTTAGAAAATGTAGGAATTAGTTTATACTAGCCTGTTAAACATTGTGGTCTTTAATACTAGCATCAGCATCCCCTGGCTGTTGCATTTGTTTGTGTAGCAGTCCTTCCTAAGTACCGGTCATTCAAGTCATTTTCTAGCTTTTCAACCCCAGCTCCTTACAGAAATTTAATTTGCTGTCAATTGTAATTACCTATAGCTCACCTGCTTTCTTAGTTTTGTGGACTCACTTAATGCAACCAAAGTCTATCATGCCCTTGGATGAGGTTTCCTTAAGCATGTTCATCCTTCTTGGCAACTAGCTTTAAAATTTAAAAGAACTCTGATATTAAATGTGCTTGGGTGAGAATAGTACTAGAATGGGTGACATCCTAGGAAGTCCCCATGTTGCACCAGTACTTTTATAAATTCCCTCCTTAGTAAACTCATTTTATTTGCCTATCAAAACAAAAAAAAAAAATTAAAAGAAAACATGAGATAGATAAAGGTTATTGGAGGAGAACATTGTCTTGATGGAAGATGTGCTAAGGTAAAGGAATCTACTAAGGGATATTCTTCAAAGAAAGAGGTTTTCATTTCAAAATGTTTCCGACCATGAAGTGTCCTGACCAGGATCCTCAAATGGTTGTAGAAGATTATCATGATCAAGCCAAATTATCCCTGTTACAGTGACGTTGCAACTAGGATCCAGTACTGCATCAATGTCTGTATTGTATAATTTTGTTTTCTTGAGTTACTAAAATTGTTATTTGTTCATTTAAAGTTACCACTGAAAAAGAAATGGAAAGAATGTTAGACTTACCAACTAAAAGAAGTTTTTCATAGTTTGAACTTTGAAGCTTTATACAATTTCCTTTCCTGCAAAATAAATACATATATTACTTTGGGGCCATTTGTAACAGCTGAAATGACTGAATTATATGATAGTGCTTTGTCTTTTAGTGGATAAAATAATCAGCCTAACATGCCTTTTAACCATTGAGGAGTTTGTAACCTACTTAATGACTTATTCACTAAAAGACAAACAATAGGCCATTCTGTTTTTTTTTTTTATCAATAACACTTTCATTAATTCATCAAGAAAATTTACAAGTGGAAGACAAACACACTTATCTTCCAAGAGTCACAAAGAACTTCAAGAAAGGAAAGAAGAAAATACAAAGATACAAGGACACTAACATTACAACTTAGCCCAAAACAAGGAATCCCTTT